AGAAATAGAATGCTGATTTGCCTGCCCTGTTCATCCAAGCTGATCTACCTTGAATATACTTTTAAAGAAAGCTCTACACTCTTAGAAAAAAATGTGCTATCTTCGGCTGTGCCCATAGGAAAACCCTTTTTGGTTCCAGGTAGAACCCTTTTGGGTTCCATGTAGAACCCTTTCTACATGGAACCCAAAAGGGTTCTAACTGGAATCAAAAAGGGTTCTCCTAGGGGGCCAGCCAAAGAATCCTTTTGAACCCTTTTATCTAATAGTGTAGGCTGGAACGTGTTATTAAGGTTTGATGGGCAAATCTGATATGAATCAGAGTTAGTTGGTAATCGCCTGCGGCAGTCCGTCAGTTACTGCCTGGTCTGTGTCAGCTGTGGTAGGCGTCTTGGACATTCTATCCTGCATTACTGTGGGGTCACACAGTGTAAGACTGTCCCCACTGCCACATACACATAGGCCAAAGGGTCACCCCCTCTATACCCCTTCAATCCCCCCTCCCCGCTTCACTCCCCCCTTTCTCCCTCACCCCCTCACTCCCAGGACGGTGAGAAGGTTGTTCTGTCCTGTCATAGCACGCAGGTTAGCATTTTTCTTGTTCTGGAAGCATCTCTGCAGAGTGATCACTAGTTGGCACAGACACAAATTCATAAAATCTGATTTTAAACCTAACCTTAACTCTGACCTTAACCACACTGCTAACCCTAATGCCTGACCCTAACTTAAATTTAGACCCAAAAGCACATTTTAGTTTTCATGAATTTTTTACAATATAGCCAATTTTGACTTTGCAGCTGGCCTATCTAAGAGTTCTGCCCCCAGGACAAGACTCATGACAATAAACGTCAACCTGCACTCTATACCTGTCATGCTTTGTGTGGCTTTATGTGTTCAATTTCCGCAGGGATTGTGTTGTTCGTTTATTATTATCTGTCAGTACCTTCAGTTCCTTCCTAAGGTAAATCTGCTGTCCACTCCAGTCCCTTTGTAAGGTAAAACTGCTGTCCACTCCCTTCCTAAAGTAAAACTGCTGTCCACTCCAGTCCCGGCTCTTCCTTCCTCTCTGTAGTCTTTCTACCTTCTCTGTGCTGGCTGACTTTCAATCACACATTTACTCCTGAGATGACAGTAATAGTAAATTATCTGGCTGGACCTACCCTGGCTGGCTGCTGTCAGAGTCCCACTGGAGTTTGCTGTGGCACAAATTACCCAGCAGACACACACACACCCTTTCTGCCCCCGGTGCCCCATCAGTCTGCCCTCTGCCCTTCCCACACGTCTCTATAGGAAGTTTTCCAGTTTCCCCACCTCCCCCCATTAATTATCACACGCTTGATGTGTTATTGAAATGTGTTATGTTGTGTTTGTTGCCTCTGTCTGAGGCCTCTGTTCTCAGTGATTAATTCAGCATATTAGCATCACCTGTGTGAGGCCTTGCTTTGCCTCTAATGAATCATTTGTGAATTAATTACACTTAGCTTGTCCCACAGGAGGACGAGAGTGTTTTAGATTACAGTCTGACCTTCTGGCGAATGTCCTGTAGTCTGGGCCTGACTGTGACTGGACACTGGACAGGACTACAAGCTGCATCCCTCAAACATGCCCTCGTAAAACGGACTATCCTACCGATCCTTGACTTCGGCGATGTCATTTACAAAATAGCCTCCAACACTCTACTCAGCAAATTGGATGTAGTCTATCACAGTGCCATCCGTTTTGTCACCAAAGCCCCATATACTACCCACCACTGTGACCTGTACGCTCTTGTTGGCTGGTCCTCACTACATATTCGTCGCCAAACCCACTGGCTCCAGGCCATCTATAAATCACTGCTAGGCAAATCTCTGCCTTATCTTAGCTCATTGGTCACCATAGCAACACCCACCCGTAGTATGCGCTCCAGCAGGTATATCTCACTGGTCATCCCCAAAGCCAACACCTCCTTTGGCTGCCATTCCTTCCAATTTTTTTGCTGCCAATGACTGGAACGAACTGCAAAAATCTCTGAACCTGGAGACTCTTATCTCCCTCACTAACTTTAAGCATCAGTTGTCAGATCACCTTACCGATCACTGCACCTGTACACAGCCCTTCTGAAATTAGCCCACTCAACTACCTCATCCCCATATTGTTATTTATTTTGCTCATTTGCACCCCAGTATCTCTATTTGCACATCATCTCTTGCACATTATCATTCCAGTGTTAATACTAATTGTAATTATTTTGCACTATGGCCTATTTATTGCTACATTTGCACACACTGTATATATATTTTCTGTGGTATTTTAGACTTTATGTTTTGTTTTACCCCATATGTAACTCTGTGTTGTTGTTTTAATCACACTGCTTTGCTTTATCTTGGCCAGGTCGCAGTTGTAAATGAGAACTTGTTCTCAACTGGCTTACCTGGTTAAATAAAGGTGAAATAATAAAAATCCCTATTATCCACACTTCTTCCGACGTGGGCACTTGCACACTTCCTCTCATTGATTTACCAATGGTGGAAACTCCTTCCAGCCAATACTTACACCAATCCTGTGCTTTTAAATCGATGATGGGGAGGGAGTGTGCAAGTGCACACTTCAGGAGAAGAGTGGAGTATGAGGACCTAGCCTGGGTCAGTCACTTGCAGTAGCTCACCAACCTCTATCTCTCTTGATAATGTTACTGGATGACATCATCCTGCTTTAAAGGCTTACAAAAAGAGACTCTCTAACCTGCGTAATATGAATGAATGAATCCTGATTGCTGTTTGGGGAATGTAATATGAAAGCCTGGGTTTTTATTAAAGATAGATTCTTACTACTTCCTTGGATGGTATGTGAAGCCAGTCCTGCTTCAGTTCCCCCGGACATGGTAAATGTAGATAATGATTCTTTATCTCTATCATGTATGTGCTCCCCGCCCTTTAATCCCACTGGAGTATATCCCTAATGTAATTTGCTAGGCTGCTTGCCCCTTGCTCTGTATGAATCCAGTGTCTCAGGAGTAGGCTTTGGGCTGGCTGTTCCTGGCTGCTCCCCTCCCTCCTCCCTCCCTCCCCCCTCTACAGGGTCTTCTGAGTGAGTTGGCTGTCCCAATATGATTCCCTCCCCCCTCCTCTGCTCAGAGCCCATTACTCTGATAACACACGGAATAGAAGCCTTGTCATGCCACGGCCATTTGGTCTAGACCTCACACACACACACACACACACACACACAAACACACACACAAGATAACCACCACAGTGCCCCTTCATGTCACAATGCTACTATGTGAGCGATTGGAAGGATAAAACGTTCATCACTTTGTGATCACAGCTGTTTTTTCCCGCCTCCAGCTACTTGTGGCGTGTCTCATTTTCATTCAAAGGGACTATCAAGGCAGGATTCTTGTCTTGCAAAACATTGTGTTCCTTTTATAATCACTCTCCCCCCTCTCGGCTGCTTCCATGGAGGCCCAACCTCGTTAGCCTATTAGTTTGGGGTTAGAGGTCAGGCCACACAGCATTTTATAATGTTCTGTTGCAGATTTGTGGTAAAATGTTTCACTCACTGGTATTTTTCTTCTGTAATCAGGGTCCGTATTCACACAGCGTCTCAGAGTAGGAGTGCTGATCCAAGATTAGTTTTGTCTTTCAGATCATAATGAATAACATTAAATAGACATGGAGGACCTGATCCTAGATCAGCATTCCTACTCTGAGACGCTTTATGAATACGGGCTCAGATCTGCTTTATACTTCTACTGACTGTGTTGCTGTGCTCTGATAAGGCTCAGGCTGTCAGAGAGTGCACACTACGTCTGCCTGAGGAATCCACCTGTTCTGAGTCCCAAATAGCTCCCTATTTCCTATATAATGCACTACTTTTGACCAGGGCCCACAGTGCTCTGATCGAAAGTAGTGCACTATATAGGGAATAGAAAAGTAGTGCACTATATAGGGAATAGGGTTGGTATCCGTTCACTAGCTCCTCACTGTAACACTGAGCGCACAAGGCCACACCACTCACTTTCACACCAGCCACGGTCCGGGTAGTGGTGAGAATAGGAAGCCAAGGGTTCTAGAGGGAGTCTCGTCTCACTACAGCTCCAGAACATAAGACACCAGACCGTACAGACCCTTAAGCCAGCTGTCCTTCTATTACACACACACACACACACACACACACACACACACACACAGGGAAGACCAGCTACACAACGCGCCAGTCCAATTTGGTTAACCATTTTTTTACTGCCTCGGTCCCTTTGAACCAGACAAAAGAGTCCTCATCATGTCTTCAAAGTGGCCGGTCAACAAGCTACTCTCCACATCAGGCACTTGTTTTTTTCAGCAAAGCCTGCCCGTTTCCTACATTAGCATTTCTCTTTTCCTCCTCCCTGGGTGCGTCCCAAATAACACCGTATTCCCTATGTAGTGCACTACTTTTGACCTGGGCCCATTTGAGACGTAGCCTCTTCCCTCTCTGCCCCTGGCCCAGCAGATGCTGAGCTAGCTGACTCTAATCACGGACCCCCAGTAGGGATGCAGGCCTGTGGGCCGTCAATAGACCCGGAATGTGGTGGTGGTGTTTTGTGTTTTTTAATCACCAGTGGTTTGTCTTGTATGACATGCTCTCTGTGCCCAACCTACAGAGCTTCTGTTTATCTGTCGTTCCTGTTGTTTGACAACACTGGTTTGGATACTTACCCCCTCTCCTTGTATTCATGAGCTGTATCTTCTCTGTGCTGTTTGCCTGTTAAGAATGCATGAGACATGTTATTCTATCAATATCTCATGAGTCAGAAATGACCTTGTGTCTTACAGAAAAACATCACATTCACAACAGATACAGTGCTCTGTCTAGACTTTTCTGTTCATGTTATTGTGTCTATTTTGGATGAAGAATATGGCCAGGTTTGAAAAAGGACTTGGCATCTGTCAGAAACAGAAATGTCACAGCCTGCTTACTGATTAAAAATGTAACAAGTAGAAATGAAATGTTCTTCCTGAAATAAATGTACATCTTCATAG